GTTTAAATAATCTAAGTAAATAGAAAGATAGTAGAGTAATTTCTATTTAGTATAGTTTATAATTTTTATAAGCCTGATACAGACTTATAATTGTGATTGTTTAATATTTATAAATTGCAAGTTTTACATCTAAAATAGTCTTAAAATTATGACCATCTGATTTTTTTGTGAATTGCATGTTTCATACTTTCTATTTTCTTGTTTATTTTCTTTCTCTCTTTTATTTTTTGTTTTGTATCTTTTATTATTTACCTCTATACTTCTGTTTTTTTTTATATATAAAATTTTTTTTTGTTTTTTTGCTTCACTATAAAAAGATGTTATCAAATTGGTAATATTCTATTGTAGAACAACAGTCAGACAAGCAGCCTACCTCTGTTTGGGGTAGTGCAGCAGATCACACTTAGGTATCAATAAGGTAACTAGGTAATGCTGAACTTAGTTATTAGAAAAATTTACTGTAATTTGTATAGTTTCAAGAATTCTAATAAAGTACTAGTATGATTGCTTAAGTTAAAAAAAAAAAAATCATGTAATTGAGATTGAAAATTCACATGATTGGAAAATTTATCCTGCATTTTGGCATTGTTGTGCATAAATATGTCACATCATAACCAGTATAGAAAATCTAATGTTCTTATGTTCTCAAGAGAACATACTTTTAGATTTGAGAATATTTGTTACTTTGATTATATTCTCTATAAAAAATTTTTTGAGAACATATTGCTTGATAAATATGTTCTCTATATAGTATAGTAAGAATGAAGTTAACAATTAGGAAATAAGTAAATTCTGAAAAATTATAGAAAAAAAATGAATGAACATAAAAGATAAGCAAGTTTGAGACAAAAATTTGAATAAATTATTAATATTATCTGAAAATTTTCAAAAAATAACAACAGAAATTTTTGTTATTAAGAATATAAAAATATTTTTGAGAACATTAAATTAAATAATTGTGTTCTCATAAGAACATAAATTTAAAACCAAATTTCTAACATTGATCATAACCTTGGATGGGTTGCAACTCTATATGTAGTTATATGATTTTGTTTTAAAGGTTTGATTGGTTAAAGCAAAATTTTAATATAATTTATATGATCACATTTTGTTAGTTTTTTTAATAAAATATCTAGAGTTTGAATAACTACTACTTTTTTTTAATTTAGCTTCAAATTAAATTTAAAACTACAAGTTTTATTCTTAAAAACAGAAATAAGATATTTTTATAATTTATAGAAAATTTAAAAGTACTGTATTTTATGGGCTAAACCACCCCTCTGTCATAAAATAATTATCAGTTATGCAAATATTTAAATAGTATATATGATAGTTTATTTATATATAATAATGTTGACAAATAATAACAATGTCTAATTAAACTTAGTTCAAGTGAATTCCAGGAAACTCCCACCTATAAGACAAGTAGTAAATATGATGGTCTTTTAATACATCCTAAAGGAGTTAGTTTATGAATTGTTTCTGACATCTAATGATTATAAAGTACCTGGATTTTTGACTTAAAACTTTTATTAATACTAACATCTAGTAGTTGTAATTTAGATATAAGTCTACAGGGAATTATAGCCATATTTGTATTATAAATAAGCAAATGTTCTTTAACTAGATCCATTAAATGTGCATGAAAGAAGTCAAGTATTAAAAGAAATTGTAGATTGTTAGGTGCTCTTCTAGTCTAAATGTTTTCGATCCATCATAGCATTTCATTTTTATTAATCTAACCTTTTTCATTTACTTAAACAAAAATATTATGAGAAAAATTTTCTTGAAATAAGGTTTTTTATTTAAAAATGCATATAGGTGGCAGTTTCATTTTATCAGCTAGACATATAAGAATAATTGTAAAATTTTTTTTTATAGTCAGTAGATCAAATGCTAATAGTATAGGTTCTTCAAGTCTCGATTGTTGATAAGTTTGGTAAATCAAATATGAGTGAAGTTTTGTCTATATTTTCTATTAAGCATAAGAGATAATTGTAATGAATTCATAGATTTAAAATATAATTAAGAAAATTTTGTTGTTGTTCTTCTAAATCTTCAGGTAGTTTTTGTGAAACAGTTGTCTGACATTGAAGTAATAAATTATAACAATTCAAGAAACTATCAAGTCAGTTACTTGACACCTTAAATAATTAAAGATTTAATTGACCCGTAAGTGAAATTGCCTTTGCAGTTATCATTTCTCTTGTAACAGCATTTTGTAATTGACATTGATCCATAATCCAATTAACTAAAACTGTTTTAATTTGTGAATAATGAGGTGGGTGCCCATTATGTAACTTAAATGTTTTTGGTGAAGTTTTAATTAATTTATCTTTTTTATTTATCCAATCACATAATTGATTCAATTGAATTCTAAAAACTTTACATGTTTCATTAATACTTAGTTTTGTTTTATTTTGTTTATAGTAAGTAATAATGTTTAACTTTTCACAGGCATTCTATTTTCTTTTTAATTTTTTTGTTATACGAGTTTTAGAAATACTTTTATTACATAAAGTTGTCATTTTTTTTTAAAAAAAAATGATCATTTTTGCATTATATATATATAATATTTATTATAAAGTGATCTGTTTGTTCTTGTAAATATAACTAAAACTGATCCGTTTGTTCTCACAAATATAACTAAAAAATTTTACAAAATGATCCGTTTGTTCTCATAAAAAAGGCATAATTCACTGTTTAATAAATAAAAGGATCTGTTTGTTCTTACAAATCTCTTTTATTACAATTATCAAAATAAAGATTATATGCTAGAGAAAATAAAGCAAACTATACTATCTTCTAAATTATATACGGCAAAATTTAATGGTGAAATAACAAATACTCTGTTTTAATTTAAATTGTGAACAGCTATTTGGTAACGGTAATGACATACGGCAATTGTTGTAATAATTACAACGGCAATTGTCTGTAGTGATACAAATCCGATATGCATCATTAAAATATCCGCAAAATCCGACAGGGGGTGGTTTGGCCCATAAAATACGGTAGTAGCATTTTTTGTAAAATTACCTTTTACATAGAGCTAAAGTTATCAGCACCATATCTGCGATAGCACATTTTGTCCCTCATCGAGGTGGTGTTGTGGAAACAATGAAAAACAATCATAGGTATTCTGTCCCTGTTTTTTTCGTGCAAATATCGAAACACAATGAAAGTTTTGAAAGCATTGCTAAAATGGTAATAAATTCTTTTCAGTAATCTCTTTTCATTTGCTACACTCAATCCTCAAAACGATACCTAGCCGAGCGTAATGTGTACTAAACAATAATTTTATGACTGTCGTCCCGACAGGCCTAAACTTAATAATATCAGTCAACGAACACAAAACACGAGCATGATTGTCGGGGTTTTCGAGGAGTGTTATTTACCTGGCAAGTTACTAAATTACGATGATTTAACCTGGTGGTCGCATTTTTACCTGATTCGCATAATCTGCTACATAATTCCAAAAAAATTATCACGTAATTCGCATAAATCGAAATGTAAAGCAGGCAGAAAATAATTGGCCATAATTTTTAATCTTCAGTTTAACAAACTGGCTTATTACTCCAGTCTGAGAGTGATTATGATCGATTACACAATGACTAATTACTCAGTCTTATTGTTCGCTGTCAATGCGTTCTATCGACATTAAATTTAATTCAGAACATAATTCTTTTTTAAAGATAAGAAAAACAAGACCGATCACGATCGATCGATCATATCAGTGACAAAATCAAAATTATGTGACATATTTGATATACTTGTCGGAGCTTTTCGGATTTTGTCAGATTCTACGGCGGGAGATACCGGAACCGTTGGATTGATTAAAATTATAGATGGTGAAACCCGCTGTAAATTAGTAAAACCCGCTACGTAGATCATGTTAGGGTGTGTTTAGCTATGTTTTTTATTATGGCAAAAGCGGATTTCACCCTCATGTGATCTGCGTAGCGGATTTTACAGTGCTGAAACACAAAAAAAAACACAAGAGCATAGGACATTATTTACGACTAATTGATCGACAATGACTCGTAACATAATCATTTGTTTTGACCTATCGAAAATCTGCATCGAATGTGTGCGACAAACTAATTAAAGGGTTAACAAACTATCCAATCAAAATTTTCTTAACCAGTTTCAATTCATGTCGATACTGTAAATAAGAGTTAAAATTAAACTCATAATACTTATCAAATAAGGTGTTGGCGTAGCAGGAGGATATTCGGCGATAAGCCTTTTAAAACAAGCTGAATAAAATAAAATATCTCCACTTTCTTAGTGACTTTGATTATGAGCAATCAGGTGCGAGCTTCACGGCATGCCTCAGGCATATTACCTTCTAAACAGTTTTTTGCACCAAGAAAGCCAATAACACAAAATGCATCACGGAGAAAGTCAACCACTCTTTCCATCATAGTTAATTCTTCAAGCGCACCAGGTGAATCGCAGGGCATTTCGGTCCGTACTTCACCTATTCGACCTCCGAGCGCTCTTCAACATCAACAAAATCAAGACGAAAGTGAGGATTTCTCACATTCTACTATTAATTCGGTTCTAGAACCAATAACGCCTACTGTAGTTTTAGAGCCCTCTTCATATAGACAGATTCGACACGGTGGTTCAAACCTTTTATCTAGTGATTTTTCCACTTCTTTTTCGAGGCATTCTGATAGTGATTCATCAGGAACATTATCCACCCAATTACAAATGATTCCGCCAAAGAAACTTTCACAAACAAAACCCCCTATTAATGATTCACCTTACGCATCTTTTGCCAAATCCATGCCTCGAATTGTTTATAATTCTGCTCCAATATCACGCGCAGATAGCAGAGGGCGTAAACGACTTTATCAAGTTTGGCCCGGAAGAAATCGGTTTTTCCTTGGTGGAAGAATAATGACTAGTAGAGATTTTACTGCTTTTCTGATCGCTTTTTCGGCACTTGTTGTGCCATCAGGCCTCTTTTTGGCATTTACGTTGGTATCATTATTTTATTATTTAAATGATTGTTATCATTCATTGTTAATTTTATTTTATTAATTAATTTATTATTTTATCTTATTTTCTTTTTAATATCTTAATACAAAATTTAATTTTTATTAAGATGTCCATATCTTTTTACACATATTTCACCAGCTGTAGTCTTTGTATTCGTATATTTATTTTTATTGGCTCTTACTAGTATGCTTAGAACTTCTTGGTCTGATCCAGGGGCAGGTGTCAATTAATGTTTTTAATTTGATTAAATTTTATTATTGACAAAATAATAATAAATTTATGTAATTTATATTTACTTTAGATTATTCCACGTAATCTTGATCCTTCTCCTCCAACAGAAGATCTAGAAGATCCAGAGAATAATGTTCAAAATAATCCAAATAGTCCTTATTATCCAATGCGAAGTGTACCTCTTCCAAAAGAAGTTAATATTAATGGTCAAACTATCAGATTAAAATATTGCGAGACTTGTAGAATATATCGACCTCCAAGATGTAGTCATTGCAGACAGTGTGATAACTGTGTTGGTTTGTTAAATAATTGCTTTTACGTAAAATTTTTTAGTATGCTCTTTAATCATCATTTACTGATTTCTTTTATTCATTTACAGAAAATGAAGACCATCATTGTATATGGTTAAATAATTGTATTGGAAGACGAAATTATAGGACATTTTTTACATTTATCGCTACAGCAACTATACTATGCGTTTACGTTACGGGCTTCTGCTTAGTGCATCTATTTTTATTAATGAAAGAACGCGAGTTTAATTTCATTTCTGCAGTAATTATTGCTCCAGTCAGATATCCTTGTGTATATTTTTATTATGTTTCAATCTTTTTATATATACGTTTGATTATTTCAATATTTCCTTAACATAAAATTACTTTTGTGTTAGCAGTTTTGTCATTTTTTTTGATGTGGTCGGTAGGAGGATTGACTATGTACCATATGTATTTAGTAAGCAATAACCTGACCACGCACGAACAGGTAATTATCAACTATGAACATATTGTAATTTTTTGATATATATTGCGTGGTATATTAAATTGGTTTGTTTTTTTTATCTATTTGAAGATTCGTATCCCAATTCCACGGCGAAATGGCACTAGAAATCCTTTTGATTATAGGAACATGAGCAGAAATTGCATGTGGGTACTTTGTCGACCCTTAACAAAAAGGTTTGTATATATCTATATATTTTTATATTTTTATTTAATTTAATACCGTTTTTCTCTTTACTTACTTTTATGTTTTAAGCTCGGTTAGCAGGAGAGCTTATGTTGAGGAAGAAGTTTTGAACATAGAACAAGTAGAGAATGTTTTGAATGGTCAACGAGAGTCACAGCAAACAAAAATTAACATTACGGAACATAATACAGAACAGAACCCAGAACAAAGCTCAGAGCATAATCTAGAAAAATACACTGAACTGAACACAAAACAGAACCCAGAACTGAACACTGAACAGAATACTAACAATACAGAACCTAAAATAACAGAAACTCATGAACAAGAATAATTTAACACTACTAGTCTTGTATAATAAATAATTTTTAACTGATTGTCATTTTAATTTTTATTATAATATAATATTCTTGCAATATGACATTTAATTTACAAAGAAGATAGTTACAAATGGCAAGTTAAATAACAAATGATAAAATGCCATCAATAAATTCATAGTATATTTTTAGACGGAATGTCAAAAAATTTAATGGTTTAGGAACTGCAAATGTTTATTTTTGACGAAAGTTAATACGTACATAATTTCTATATAAACACTAATTTTTACTAACGTGCTGATATAGGAAAATTGCCGATACGTACCAAAATTGTAGTTGACAAAAAAAATTTTCAATTTTCTCAGATTCTATGTCACGATTTTTTTCATCTTACCCAACGATCCGAGCTTGTGCCGGTATCGCTTCTTGGATTCCTGTAATAATTTGGAGTTTAGATCATGGATACTCTATAAGCTCTGTAAGCGGGAGATCTATGCAGGTGAAAACATTTTATCGAAGACGACCATATATTGTTTAAGCCAAGCTTAAAAAAAAAAAAAAAAACGACTTAAATATGAGTTGTGTTAACGAACTTGAATAATAAAACATTAGCCAACATTTAATCCAGACTCAAACAAACTCACTAGAGATATTGTTTTGTTGAATCGCCAAGCCGCTATTAGTCATAAATACAAAAGGGGTGATGTAGTAACCTTATAGTGTGTATCAACTATTTCATGGATTTGATGCTATCGCCTCTTTGGTTTTGTATTAAAGATCTTGAATGGGTTTAGCGCGCCAGATGACCCAAACAAGGTGATAACCAAACGAATAATAGCGTTAGAAGGAGACACAGTTTTCACATTACCACCATATCCAGATAAATTTTTAAGAATACCGAATGGACATTGTTGGGTTGAAGGTGATGACGTGTATCACAGCAAAGACAGTAACACTTTTGGGCCGGTAACAAGAAAATATTATTATTATATACAATTCATATGTGTTAATATGAATAATGGAGTCATTGCTTTGAAAATGACCTTATGGTACATAATAATTACTATGTTTCTTAAGGTCATTTTCAAGGCAAAGACTCCAAATGAATTTGTTAGTTGCTAATTTTATATCATCGGTATTTTAGGTACCATTGGGGTTAATAAATGCCAAAGTAACACACGTATTGTGGCCATTGCCAAGATTTGGTAAAGTTCCGCGTATCGAGAAACCAGGACGGGTTGCTATATACGCAGAATAGTCGGCTTTTTAGATCATTGTATAAAAGAGTCAGTGTACTCTGAACGAATGAAATAATAATATTCAAAAAATTTAAAGATTTAGAATATTTTGATATTTCATTCTAATTTAATTCTTTTTACTTTATATTTTTCATTTTTACTTTCCGCTGAGTCACATGTCTGACGATTTGCAAGTTTTACATAATTTCGAACTCGCAATTCCTTACCGCCAGTAATAATGCTCGATAAGTTATCAGATGGCGTATTAATCTCAGAAGAAGCCAATTCTTTTAGCGTTTGTTCGAATTGTGTGGGAATATTTTGTAATTCTTGTCCAGGATGAATAAATTTTTTCAAAGATATTCCACCAAGATCATTTAATAATGTTGAAAAGAGTAAAGATTTTGTTGTATGAATGTACCATTGTTCATAAATATGTTTATAAAGCTTAGAAAGTGTATTGAGCATATTATCATCTCGACCGTAACACCATTTCACATTGTCATATTGACAATCATACAATACTAAAGGCAACTCGCTTGCCATATTATAAATTGGTTTCGCTGGTGTTTTTTTAATATCTAAAAGGACATCTACAATGGAGGGATCTTCTAATTTTTGACCAACCAAGAACAAAATCGCCATCATACATCGAACCTGATGCCATAAAAAAGCTGTTCCTTTCAAGTCAAATACATAAAATTCTTCCGTTGTTGTGAAATTCTGTTGATCTTGTACTAGATCAATGCCTAAATGAAGTATTGTACGCTCAAAATTATCGATCTGCTTTGCCCCATCGATCTTACAGAAATTACGAAAATCATGAGTTCCAAGGAATCGATTTGCGGCATCTCGCATTAAGTCAATGTTCAAATTTCTTTTTACGAAAAAATATTTATAATGTCGAAAACGACAATCATGTCTTGCATTAAAATCAGGATTTACCGGTGCCCAAGCAATTATTCTTATGTCATCCGGAAGCAAACGGTTGAGTGTTTCAATGTAAGGAATTTCTTCAATCTGTTTTGGCTCAGTCTTAACATCATCTTGCTTGTTGGAACTACTATTATCATCCGCTGATATGATTGGCAATACATAAGGAGAATCTCGTGGAAGATTTGACCTAATATCTAATGCTATAACTTGTCCTAAACTACTAACACCTTTATCTGTTCTGCCGCATTTAGAAAAATTACATTTTGCAGGATCAGTTATCATTTTTGAGCTCATGAGAGCAGAATGCAAGTGTCCTTCAATGGTTGGGAATTTTTGTTCGTCAACGTTCGCTGCAAATCCATGATAATTCCAACCAAAGTATGCTAATTTGAATGCAATATGTCTCTTTGAATATTTTGACATATCAAATGGGCGAGGATTTTTTTTACGTTTCTTAGAAGTTGTATCAGTGTCACATGACATAGAAGTTACTGTAGTCGTTGAAATAGAATCGCATTGAGTTTGTTGACCAGTCTCATAATTTAGTAGTTTTGCAATTAATTCCTCTTTACTCCAAGTAGCATACTTTTCGGCACCAATTGAATGAGACATACGAATTAGAATTCGATGACTTGAAAAGTTTTGAAGGCTAACGCTAACGCTAATGCGAAACATCCTTATTCGGTAAATAAAATAAATGAAGACGTAATACAATGATTTGTATTATCACATGATTGTTAGAAACTTATGTATATTCTACAAGTCGATATTATGTATGCACCAAATTTTATTTTAAATACTTACTACAATGTCGTCACTTCATTCGAAGAGAATTGTGTTTGATAGAACCTTCCCTGAATTCAAGCAAGACTTAGAACGTTTGTTCGATTTCGCGGGGCTAGATCCAGTTTCTGGAATGAATATGTATCAGTATCCTTTTCGGAAAAACGAGCCTGCCTTATACTTGTAAAATAATTTACCTGTATTTTCTTTGACCGAGATCTTTATTTATAAAAAAGATTGGTTTATGATATGTGTACTTCTTATCCTAAGCCGCATACAAAGAAATTATTTAATTCTATTGCCGATTTTTTGACTCAATATACTACAAAAATCCGAATGGTATGCCAAATATCAGAAATTATTTGATCCAGTATTTCTTTACGATAAATCATTGATAATCTGGTTTAAATTTTATTGAATATATTTCAAGTCAATTTTGGATCATGATGACGTAGTCAGCGCTTATGTTAGAGAATGGGAACATTACAGAATTGCTTCCGATGCTTCTAGCAAGATATGTGAATACCTTAACAAACGTATATTAGACAAGGATCCTAAAGATCATAGTAAGATGGATAAAAACCGTCCTGTTGAAGGTGGCAAATATAAAAGGCAAACTGTTCACGCGGTTGGTATTTTGCAAGGAATATTTGAAAGTTACTATTTTCATATCTATATTTTATTAAGAAAATTAAATTATTGAAAATTCAGTAGTTCGTTATTTTTTTTTTGTTTAAAATCATTTAAGCTGGCGTATCTGATATGGAAAGAGCGAATTATTGACGACATAAGATTGAAGCACTCTGATCGGTTTATGTATCAGATATTTGAACTGATCCGAAGAGATAGGGACGGAAAGGATACAGTGCCTAATGTTGTCGCAGATGCAATTAATTCTCTCGGTATTTTGATTTCATTATTTGTAATTATTTGTAATATTTCCATAAGTTATTTTTATCTAACCAATTTTTCTGTAATCAGTCGAACTTAATACCTTTACCGAGAACAAACAATTACATTTGTATAATGAAGTGTTGGAAAGGCCATACTTGGAAAAAACACGACAATATTACGAAAGAGAAGCTGCTGCTGTAATATCAAATGATAACATTTCTCAATATATGAAAAAGGTATTTATTTATTAAATCCAGCTGATTTATATTTTATTCAAAGTAACGTTATTAATCTTTTATATAACAGGCTAACGAAAGATTAGAGCAAGAAGTGGCGCGCAACCTTAAATATTGCCATCCTGATTCACATAATATTGTATGTTGTGCCTAATTTATGTTTATAATAATGATTTATTTTACATATTTGACATTATTTTGGCTATTACTGAAATAAATAGATAATCAGAGAATGCGAAACCCAATATGTAGCTGTGCATCAATCACGTATACATGGTGAATTTGAAGTTATGATATCCAATGAGAGATATGAAGGTATGATAAATATGCTTTATGATGTGTATTATTTTTTAGGTGTGACTTCTTTTTATTCAATAAAATATATATTTCAGATTGTACTATGGCATACAACCTCTTATCACGTATAACTAACGGTGTCAATCCTTTGTTGGAGATATTCGAACAATATATTTCAAACATTGGAAAAGAATTGATTGCGGGAATGGGCAATTCAATAGCTAAGGTAACCTATTTTAATAGATAAAAAAGTGCACCGTTACTTTTTCTAATCATTAATTTAAATTTTCTTTATATCCTTTGCATAGGATCCTAAAGAATATGTAGAGTCGCTTATGAATCTTCATATAAAGTACATGAACGTTTGCCAAAAAGTATTTATTAATGATGCAGCATTTGTCGCAGCTGTAGATAAGGCTTTTAGAACAATCATTAACGACACAAGCATTGTACATTCGCCCGAAGTTCTTGCCCGTTATTGTGATGTGTTGCTAAAGAAAACACACAAAGGTGGATTTAGTGAACAAGAAATTGAGGACAAATTAGATCGAATGGTAGGATGTTTAAAATACATTGATTATTCACATACAGGGAATTATTGAAATTGAAATTTAAATTAAATCAACTGTTTTTATTTCAGATCGTTCTCTTCAAATATATTGATGACAAGGACGTGTATCAAAAATTCTATTCAAGAATGCTTGCCAAACGTTTGATATATGGCAATTCTGTATCTGATGAGGCGGAAATGAATATGATTACACGTTTAAAAGTAGATATATTTACTTTTACTAATTACTTTAGTGCTCTTATATGCCATGTTAATTATATATGTTTATATACAAGATTTCGTGTGGTGTGGAGTACACTAGTAAGCTGCAAAAGATGTTTACCGATATTACGCTTAGTACGGAAATAAACGGCAAATTTTCTGAGTATACCAAAAAGAATTTCAATGGAGAAAATGGTTAGTATTTACTTAATTCTATGTATAATCAAACTGTGATTTTTAATTTCACCTGAGGGAATTCACTGGAGTGCTATATCTCAAAAACTACTACCTAACACACGTCAGGTATACTAAGTAAAAGTGTTCAGAATCCCCAAAACCTAACCCTAACTAAATTTGAAATCTTTATATCTAACCCTTGTCTTACCCTAAAACAGCACCCTAACCCTAAAAACATAAGGGGGTGAATTTCCCATCCGATTAAATGTAGTTGTTTTCTAATTTCTAAATCATCATTGATATATGTATCATAGGCTCGCCGGTTGATTTTTCCATCTTAGTTCTAACGGCTGGTGCATGGCCGTTAACGCAGTCTTCGATGACAGAATTTCAATTACCGACAGAGGTGACTTTGATATTAAATTCATCCTGCAATGTTGTATTTTACAGATATTTAACCTGATGACATTTATTATATAGTTAGAAAAAAATGTTACGCACTTTTCAACATTTTACAACACTCATCATATTGGCAGAAAGTTGACATGGTTATGGCATTTATCCAAAGGTATGCAATTCAGTAACACATACTGTATTTTCGCGTAATAATGTCCATGAGCGTTATTTCAAATTTCAGCCCGAATTAAGCTTAATTTAACCAAAATTCCCTGCGCGTTATTACGTGAAAATACAGCAACAGTTGGTTTATTTACTTGTTTTAATATAACAGTTACTTTTTTTTTATATAGCTGATGTAAAGTCGAATTATCTTGAGAAACGTTACGAGTTTTCAGTGTCTCTTCACCAACTTGGTGTTCTACTATTGTTTAACAATGTAGATGCATATTCATTTAAAGATATACGTGAACACACGGGTTTGAATGATTTAGAATTGAGAAGGGTCATGAAGGTGAACGTCAATGATAATTTTTTAAACCAGAAATTTGATCTATTTTCATTTTTTTAATATAAATTTTTTCATAGCCCATGATTGATTTATCAGTATTTTTGGTTTCAACATCCGGAACATTGCAAGATGATACAGAAGTTAAACTTAACATGGGATTCACAAAGTATTTAATATATTCTGTCGCTAAGAACATTTTTCATAACAATTAATTACTAATAAAAAGGTATTATTATCATAGCAAACGTAATAAAATCAAGATCAGTTCCTCCTTACAAACTGAAACTCACCAAGAAAATGATGCTACGCGAAGATCAGTTGATGAAGATCGTAAACTTTATCTGCAGGTAAAGTTATTTACAAATACAAGTTTTCATTGTTAAATAACTTAAGCATTATTAAATTTTATTTAGGCGTCTATTGTTCGAGTGATGAAATCACGCAAGTCTTTGACACATACATCACTAGTACAAGAGGTCATTAATCAGGCGAAGTCACGATTTAATCCTAGTATGCCGATGATTAAAAAGTGCATTGAGCAGCTACTAGAAAAACAATATATTCAACGGAGTAAGGATAACAGGAATAAATATGTATACGTAGCTTAAGGTGATGGGAATATTATACGCATGGCTTATATCTCGTATGAAGGATTACTTGTGAAAATTAGAATCAAAAGTTGCCAATGATCTTTTTAACTTATGAATATATGTATTCATATTTATTTAAATGCTTATTTATTTGTAAAGTACAATAGAATAATACTTAATGATGTAAGCCTATTTAAGTCATGATAAGATTTAATTCATGATGCTTTTTAATATTTCAATTTCATTAATAAAATTGAAATAATTGAGGTGGTTGAATTTTTATTACTCAAAGTGTTAAAGAATTTATTTCGGAATTATCAAGAGTGGAGTATATGTAGATCATTTTTTATGACTTTAAAAATATTTAATTGTTTTTAAGTTTTAAATAAAAATATAGAATAGATTTCTAATTCTAATGGTAATAAAGTTATTATAGTTGGTTAAGGGTAGAGTACAATATAGATCATTTTTATATACATATAATTAGTTGCATAAAAAAATTTTTTTTTCTATTAAACTAGTATTTTTAAAGTTAGGGTTTTTTATTCAGTATTATAGAACATAAAGCTTCAAAGAAGTTACTTTTACATTAGAGAGTACAACTAATTATATATATATTTTTGATGTCTAATTTAAGTAGTTTGTTTATACAAATTTTATACTAGATGTATTTTATTTATTCTTTTTTCTGATATCTTTGTTAGTTGTAACATATAATTTAGTTTTAGTTTTATTATTATATTATTTATACTGTATATGTAATCTGATTTATTGTTATTTTTTTATATCTAAGATTTCTTTTTTTTTTTTTTAAATATTAAGGTGAGTACTTGCGACCCAGGATTTTATTGATAGTATATTTGGCTAATGATTGC